AAACAAGCAATCAAATCTCAAAGGAAACAGAGCCCCAGGTCTGGAAAAGTTCTTGGAAACGTTTTAGACCATCTGGAGGTCCTAGACTCCTTGAGAATTTGATGCAAGTTAGGGATCTTTTTCCCAGAAACATGTACAGAATTTCACATGCAATTCCAAGGGCTTCATAGAACCAGTGACATGGACCTCAGATGTTTCCAGGTAAAGACTGAGAGAAGTTAGGGACGCAAACTGCAGGCTACAATTCCTCAGATGCACAATCAAGTGCTGAATGAATAAAAGCTTAAGAATCTATAAAAGGAAGACCAACACTGTTAAGTGGAAAAAAAAAAGATTGCTGAGAAGATAGGCTTTTAGAGGGCCATATTTCTCACATAAGCTAGCTTCACACTGCAGTCACCTTCCAGGAGAGGCCATTTTCCCTGAACATTTATATTTATCCCGGACCAAGGAAATATCATCTGCATCTGGTTGTCCCAATGTCAGCTCAAACACAGCCTATCCAAAATGGGTTTATCTTCTCAAAAGCAACTTCCCTTTGAAATCTTTCTACTTGTCACTAGCACCACTATTATCCCAATCAACCAGACCCCAAATTTCTCACCTATCTTTGACTCTTCATTTTTCTTCTCCTTCCATTAGAACAGTAGGAATGAATAAGCAACCAGGCCTGTCAATTCTTCAGTCAGGTGTACTACAGCTATTTATTGGGTACCTTTCAGTGTCATGGGCACTGCAGAGACAAAGATAGATAAAAGACACCCATGCCCCTAAGAAGCTCACAGTCAGGTGTCCCTTCCTTGATATTTTTATAGCTACCATTGATGTTTTAGATTTGCACCATTCTACAGTCACTTTTCTACTCCAGCCCCTAAGTGCTCTGACGTCCTTCAGTCTATTCACTCCTTCCTAAGATTCCAACTCGCATAATATTTTGCTGACCGAATATATTCCTTAAAATAATAAATTCAACATGTAATTCCCTTGATAGGAATATCTCTATTAGGTTCCTGGTATCTACAGAAAGCTTGTGGACTTTACGCTGATAACCAGAGCCCTGTGCATCATCAGGCCCACCCCCATCCACCTACAAGAATCCCCTTCATCTCAACCACCCTTTACTACAAGTTCACTGCGCCAATGAAGCTGTTCCTGAAACTTACTCATGTTTATTCCGGCCCCATCACTGCCATAGTGGACTCTCCTTCCCTTTCTACTCATCCTCAGAGTTACAGCTCGAGTCCTGCCTCTTCCCACAAAACATTTCAAGAAATTATATCCCACAGGGATCAGGCATTGATATATTCTGGTATTTGTATAAATCACTCATTTTGACACTACACCATAAATATTCATAATTTTATTTTTTGTCTTTTCAAACTGACTACAATGCCTTTGAGGTCAATAAGAAAACCTTGCATTTTTTCTTGTTAACTTTCCTGCATCTATTCATTTAACATATATTTACTGAGGTCCTGCTTTGCACTCCGCGCTGTACCAGGCTGCGGGGGTCCACCATGCTTTGACATAATAAATCCTAAACAAATACTTATTGATAAATAAAATTTATCCCCTTGGCTACAAGTGGCATATTTATTTAAGAAAAATAACTCTTAAAAGCTTTCTTATTTTTAGATCATGTGACTACACAAGTCATGTAATTTTCTAACAGCCCCGAGGTGTCAACGGTTGGGAGTTTCAACCATCAGGTTGCAGCTGGATTTAGAACATATTCACTTGCTCATATTCTTCAGAATTTAATGTAACTTTTGTAATTCCTGCTGAAAGAATATGACCACCTTTTTAAGGCTCACATTTCGCTTTTCTCCAATTTGGCATAAAATGCTGTAAGGAAGTAGAATGGAAAAGTCTTCAGCTACTTGACATCTACAATAATAGGAGACATTTTGATAATACCAGCTTCATAAATAAGCCAGAAACTCCTCAGATTTGGCCAGCTATGTCGGTAAAAATTTAGGAAAGTGGGCAGTTCATTATGATTTAATTGCACAGACTTCTGTTGAAGGTTTATATATATATTGTAGTTTATAAATATGCCCATAAAAATAAAATTACAATATTCAAGTAAATAAATAAATGTCCCCATGACTGTTCTCTTGAATGACAACAAACAATAAGTGTTATGGTCCCAGCTGTTTACTTAAATTGGCCCTGAGGGGATGGAAAGGCCATTGGGTCATCATCAAGTTACTGATGCACTTTTTACACTGAGATGGGTACTAAAGGGAAAATGGCCATTCTGTCTGCACCATCCATCTAGACAGCTTCTATCCACCAAAATCTGCAGCAGTGACTCTCTTGCAGCTTTGGATTTGAAGACTACTAATTTTTAACAACAACAACAACAACCACAAAGCAACAAGGGAAGAAAGAAATAAGCTGTAAAGAGAATTTCTTTTTTTAATTGAGCAAGACACTGTGTGTGAAACCTTGCAGAGATCATTTAAGGCTCAGGATGAGGTCACCCTCTTCTTCAAGAGGATTTACTTTCGTTTCTTTCAGATATCTAGGCTAAGGGCAGATCAAAATCCAACTGAGGATGGAGATGATTTCAATTTGGGCTTCAGTGGTTTAGAGAACTGTTCTTTTTTAGGGATTGCCGGAAGCTCTGCTCAGCATCTCTGCCTCTCTGCCAGGCTTTTACTTTTGCATCTGCAATTTCCCTGTGAGGAAAAGCAGCTCGAGATGCAGGGCTTACCTCCCTCAGCTTCTCTCGTCTTCTAGATCTTAGTCCTGTGGATTCTCCCCACCTTGGTAGCTCGCCAATGCCCTCAAACAGGTGTTTGGTACTATGTCTTGTATTATTCTCAGAAGCCTTGGTCTAAATTAACTTTACAGCCAGAAGTAGAAGCTCCTCTATCCCTAGTTCGATTATTGGTGTCACTACCCATCTGGTCTTTCTAGCTAATTACGTTGGATCGATCCTAGATAGCTCAATATCTGAACATCTCCCCTTTCCTTTTTTTCTTTTTCTGCACATGTAGAAAGGTCTCTCAAAACCAGACTCTCTGCCACTCATTGACCCTGTGATCATTTAGGTTACAATTGCCCACGCAATTTTCTATCTGGTCTCCCTGTCACTGGGATCCCTCAAATCTCCTCTTGAGTAAGACTGTGTCTTAGTTATAACAGAACACTATAGTCTGGGTGGCTTATAAACAACAGGAATTCATTTTCCCAATTCTTCAGGCTGGGAAATCCAAGATCAAGGTGCTGGCAGATTTGGTGTCTAGTGAGAACCCCCTTCCTGGTTCTTAGACAGCCATCTTCTTGTCGTGTCCTCACATGGGAGAACGGGTGAGAGAGGAATCTGGAGTTCCTTTTCTAAGGTCATTAATCCCATTCAGGAGGGCTCTACTCTCGTAACCTCATCACCTCCCAAAGGCTCCACCTCCAAATACCATCACATTGTGGGTGAGGTTTTCAACTTATGACTTCTGAGGGGACACATTCAGTCCATAGCAGACTGTGTGGCATAAAATACCCTGAAAATAAGATAAACAGAAATCCCTTTTCCCACCCCTCACCCTGGGATGCCAGTTAGGAAAGATGCTTAGTGGTGTCCTACAGGAAGTCACAACATCTATGTGTCTACCCAATGGAGAGAAGATATTCACTTCTGGCTTTGACCCAATCAGGAAGTTACTCTTTCACCCAGCGGGAGCTGACCGGAACCCCTCTCATATTGGCAGCAGAATCAAAAGCAGTTGGCCCAACAACTCCAGCGTACACTGACTGAAGGTAGCTGGACAGTGCCACAGCACTGAGTAAACACGAAGGGCTGCCTTCCCGCAGGAAAGAGACCCAAGCAGCAGGTGCTCCTTAGAGAATCTTAGGGGGAAGCAAAGTCTCTTTAATAAGGTTTCTACAACACTTGATGCTGAAAGTAAACTTTGAAAATACGACCCAGTAAAGATAAAAACGTATTTCTGGATTGTAATAGAATAAAATAACTTGGCACCAGACAAAACTCATGTTGGATGCTCAGCAAAGAATCATAATGTGAGCAATGAAAAGCTGAGCTATGTAGACCAGGCAAGCACAGAGATAACTGGCCCAGCTGCCCCTTATGAGCAGGTTTTGGGAGGAAGGAGTGTCAGATAAATATCTACGCTCCCTCCGCAGCACATTATCTTAACATAATTTTTTTTTTTGAGGAAGATTAGCCCTGAGCTAACATCTGCTGCCAATCCTCCCTTTTTTGCTGAGGAAGACTGGCCCTGAGCTAACATCCGTGCCCATCTTCCTCTACTTTATATGTGGGACGCCTACCACAGCATGGCTTACCAAGCAGTGCTATGTCTGCCCTCGGGATCTGAACCGGCCAAACCCCGGACTGCTGAAGTGGAGCAAGCACACTTAACCACTGTGCCACCAGGCCAGCCCCTATCTTATCATAATTTATCTCTGCCTAGGTGGGCTCTAAACTATCCAAGCACAGGACAGCTCTATAATTATCAGTTGATAACCTGGTCTTGTCAGGTTGATGGTTCCTTTCCAGATTATTACCTGGAGCAATTGAAGCTCCTAAATGTTGCTGGTGTTAAAAAGCTAATGAGAAAAACCATAAGAGAATACCCAGAGAAGAAGAGTTTTCTTTCTAAAGTGATCTGATTGTGGATGATTTTTTCCTTCTGTTTTCCAAACATTCCTTAACGCTCTTACATGTTATTTACAAAATAAATAAATGTCTAATACAAATGGTACCACAAAGATGAGACAGCCTCTAAAATATAATAAAAAGTCTTAAAAAACCTTTCTGTTTGAACTTGGGATGTTTGTAATTAATTCCTGCACATAATTGCAAATTTCTAGAAAAGAGATAAGGATGGAGTGGCCTGTACCTCACGAGAGGGTCTTAGAAGGAAATCATCTTGATTGTCACCCCCCCTTTTTTTTACAACATGTTGCTTATTTTCCCTAGAAGCAAATATACAAGACATGTTTTATCTCAGATTACTTATGAAGAATTTTTTTACCTAAAATTCTCATATTCTTCCACTTGTCGTTTCCAAGGACAGCTCTGTATATTTGTGACAATTCGAAGATAGTCATCCTCTGAATACCTAAAAGTCAAATGTCAATGAAATTAGAAAATCAGGATCTTACCTATTGCTAAACAAATACGTAAGTCTTCTAAAGACATTTTTATAATCTACTCATTTTAGCCTTCTTGAATCTTTTCTGAAATAAGGTGACGTAGAAATAAGTAAATATCAAAACATTTCAAAACTTCTAGGAATATACAATTTGCAAAGAATTATTATGTTGATTTAGCAAACAAACCATGACAACGCACCAACTCACATTCATGTTTTATGGCCATTTCACCTTAGCTTTAACTCAATGACAAATAAATATACATTTTATAGATGCTTGCCATAAATATATGGTTTATTATTTTTTTCAGACTCTAAGTTGATAGATTTACCTTGGGATATATAGATCAAATTTCTCCAAAATAATCATCCTAAATTTTAATTCTAAACAGTACATTAAATAACCAGATTAGGCCCAGTTAAGAGAGATATATATGGCACAAAAAATTATAAGCACAATGGTACCGTTTGGCTGGATCCCAGTCCCCAGTAGATTTCACTCTCTCTGAAATTCCATCAAGTATTAATTCCTTTAACCACAGAATAGACTTTAGTCTTTAAGGCTCATCACTTAAAATGCAAATATCCTTTGAGTGAAAACCCCTTAAATTTTCTTTCAATTAATATCTTAGTCATAAGTTGCCAGTTGTTTGAGATCAAGGCTCTGGAATAAAGAGATAGAGTATGTGTTGGTGAAAAGAGAAGATAGAGTATGTGTTGGTGACTGGGTGGGGAAGGGAGAGGGCAATAAAGAACCTTGTCAGGAAAATCGCTTCCTCATCCCCATACAACAAAATGCGGATCTTCCAAAGTTTATCTCTGAAAGGAGGTATTTGTTACAGTTGGGGAAAGTAGTCAACCAAGCAATTCCTCTCCCCCTGAAATTTACTTCTTTTGGGTATCTCTTTCTGCAATGTTGCCACTAAGATTAGTCAAGAATATTTTACCTTGGTTTCTGTTGGCCCACCTAAGGAAAGCTGAAAATCTTGAAAGACTTTGCTAAATACTAAAGGAGAAGCAAGGCAAAGAGCGACCACAAGAGAGATTAAAAGTGGATTTATTTGTATACAGGCTTTCAACTTTAACAGATTTACTTCCCTCCCATGGGCCTTAAGACTTGTCCTAGTACACTAAGTGGCATGAGAGATCTATACGCTGGTCCCAAAGCTTTGTCGACATGTGACGATTCCTATCTGGAGTGAAGATTGCCAGTCTCCATCTGGTGGGAGACACCCAGAGACACCCTGCAAGACAGCATTAAGCTCAAAAAAGAAGAAATATACATTGAGCAGCCTAACGAAGTCTCTTTCAATTTCTGGTTCTTTAAGAGAGACATGACACTGCGGCTATTCTCTCCTGCCTCTTGACTTCTGGGGTGAAGTCTCCTCCAGTGGGGAAGTCTTGTTTACCACCAAGGCATATGATCATATTGAAAACAAGACAATAGTCAGAGCACTGTGTGTACCAGGGTCCATCAGGCAAAGTAACAAAAGAATCATTGTCTCACAACCTCTACTAAAGAGAAAATGGAAAGGGAGGGGCCAAATACAAATATCTTATCTAACTAAATCAGTGAGAATTGCAATGTATTTTAAATCATCGAGACAAAACATATCATGAAAAGTACAGTAAATGGGAAATTACTGTCAAATCATAAAAAATAAATGTGTCTGAGTTTAAGGTTTTATTTAAATGTCATTTATTAGATGAAAAAAATTAAACTTCTCGACGCATAGCTGAGATAAGAAGACTAGGGAACTTGAAGACATAGCAATAGAAACTATTGAGATGGAACATACAGGGATAAAAAAGATTGAATGAAAAAGTTACAGAGAATCATTCAATTGTGAGACAACCTCAAGTGGCCTAATATACAAGAAATAATGGTCCAAGCAAGAGAAAAGAGACAAAAAAAATTTTGAAAAAAATTATGGGCCAAATTTTCCAAATTTAATGAAAACTATAAATCCACAGACCCAAGAAGCTTAACAAACCCAAATCACAAGAAACATAAATAAGACTATACCAAGGCACATAATAATAAAATTTCTTTAAATCAGTGATAAAAAGAAAATCTGAAAAGTAGTTAGAGAAAAAATATTATGTACATAGCAACAAAATAAAAATTACAGACTTGTCAGAAAGAATGAAAGTTGGAAGGCAGTGGAACAACATCATTAAAATTCAGAACAGGATTTGGGGAGACTGTCAACCTAGAAATGTATAGTCAGGAAACCTTTAAAAAAATGAAGGTAACATAAAGACTTTTTCGAGCATACAAAGACTGAAAGAATTCATACCAGCAAACCTGAAGTACAAGGAATACTAAAGGAAGTCCTTTGGGCAGAAGAAAAATGAAACCAGATTGTAATCTGGATTGACACAAAGCAATGGAAAGCACTGGAAATGTTACAATATGTAAATATATATGAAAGACATTTTTGTATTTTTCTAGGTCTCTTTAATAAATAATTGACCACTTAAAGTAAATATAATAATAATATATTGAGAAGTTTATAACATATGTAAAAATAAATGCATGAAAACTATAGAACAAAGGTCAGAAAGGGGGGAGGAGGATAGAAGCAGTATAAATTACTTGCAAGTAGACTATGACAAGAAAAAGAGGTATACTGTTCATGCAAAGCTATAAAAACAAACAAAATCACAAAAAGTAATAAAATGTCATCATAAAATTACTCAATCCAAAAGAATGCAGAAAAAGAGGAAAAGGGAGCAAGAATCAGGCAAATGGAAAACAAATAGCACGATGGTAGATTTAAACCCAACCATATGAATAATGACATTAAATGTAAATAATCTAAACATTCCAATTAAAAGGCAGAGAACGTCAGATGGGATCTTTAGAAGGCAGGAACCAATCGTATATTGTTTACAAGAAGTCCATTTCATACAAATAAACTAGTTAAAAGTAAAAAGATGGGAAAAGTTATACCATAGTAGAACTAAATAAAACAAAGCCAGAGTGTCTATATTTATATCAAAGTAGATTTCTGAGCAAGAAATATTATCATGAAAAAAATAGGGTAAAAGCAGAAACTGACAAAATAGGAGGAAAAGAATCAATGAAATAAAAAGCTAGTTCATTGAAAAATCAATAAAATTGATAAACTTCTTGCCATACTGATCAGGTAAAAGCGTGAGAAGATACAAATGATCAATATTAGTAATAAGAGAGGGTGCAGAATGAGTAGTTCTACAGACATTAAAAGTATAATAACAACTTTATGCCAAAAAATTTGACACCTTAGATGCAACAACATATTCATTGAAAGACATGAATTACCAAAGCTCACTCAAGAAGAAATATGTAATGGGAATAGTCCTATAGCTATTAATAAAATTGAATTTGCAATTAAAATCCATCCCACAAAGAAAACATCAGGCCCTGATGGTTTCACTGGAGAATTTTATCAAACATTTAAGAAATATTAATATCAATTCTACACAACTCTTCTATAGAATTGAAGTAGGGGGATACTTCCAAACTGATTCTCTGAGAACAGTGATACTCTGGTACCAAAACCAGAAAAAGACATTAAAAGAAAGAAAACAAAATACAGACCAATATTCCTCATAAACATAGATGCAAAAATCCTCAACAAAATATCAGCAAATTGAATCCAACAATATGTAAAAAGGATAAGGCACTATGCCCAAGTAGGGTGTATCTCAGGAATGGAAGGTTGGTTTATTTGAAAGTCAATCTATGCAACTCACCATACTAATAGAATAAAAAATAAAAACAGCAATGATCTCACTACATTAACAAAAAAGCATTTGACCTAATTTAACATTCAGCAATGACAAAAACTCTCAGCAAACTTGATGTAGAAAGGAACTTACACAAGTTGGTAAAGGACATCTACTAAAAAAATCCTATAGCTGGGGTCATACATAGTAATGAAAGACTGAATGTTTCCCCCTAAGATCAGGATCAAGGCAAGGATGTTCACTCACTATCTCTCTTCCACAATGTAGTGGAGATCCAACCAGTGCAATAAAGCAAGAAAAAGAAATAAATCTATCCAGATTAAAAAGGAAGAAGTAAAACTGTCTTTATTCAGACATCACATGATCATCTGAGGAATCTACAAAAAAAGTTACTAGAGCTAATAATTTAGCAAATTTGCAGAATACAAGGCCAATGAACTGAGTAATTCTACTTCTGTAGACTAGCAAGAAACAACTAGAATTAAAATTAAAAACAATTCCATTAATAATAACATCAAAAATATGAAAACTTAGGAATAAATTTGACCAAAGATGTGCAAGACCTGTACACTTAAAAGCACAAAATATTGCTAAGAGAAATTAAAGAAGACCTAAATAAATGAAGTAATATCCTATATTCAGGGGTGAGAAGATTCAAGATTATTAAGATGTCAATTTTCCCCAAATTTATATATTTGGTACAATATTAACCAAAATTCCAGCAGTCATTTTTTTAGAAATCGAGAAGCTGATTCTAAAACTCATATGGAAATTTAAAGACCTGGAAAGCCAAAAAAATTTGAAAAGTAACAAATTTGGAAGAGTTGCAGTACCTGATTTCAGGACTTATTACTGTGCTAAAATAATCAGAACAGTGTCTTATTTCTGTCAAGACAGATAAATAAATTAATGGATGAATAGAAAATCTAGAATTAAAGATTTTCAACAAGGTAGTTCAATGGGACAAGAATAATCTTTTTAAAAAATGTTGCTGGAATGATTGGAGAACTATCTATTTTTAAAATACCTCACTCTATATACAAATATTAACCCAAAATGAATCATTACCCTAAATGTAAGAACTAAAGTTGGAAAATTTCAAGAACAAACATAAGAAAAAAAATCTTAGTGACCTTGGGTTTTGTACACACTATGCACAATATATACAAACTACAATAGAAGAAATCTATAAACTAAACTTTGTCAAAATTAAAAGGTTACATCTCA